TACGCCCCAAGAAATACAAAAAACCTACGCCCTACTATGGCAAGAGGCGGAGCACTCAACCAATCGTCAAACCTCTCCGATGACAGACAGTTCCACTTCCAACCTCCAAACCCAACAGAAACGGCGCGCCCGCCACCAACGCCAACGCCAGCCCCATCAAGTCCCAACTCTACAACCCCAACCATCAAGTTTACCAGCCGCAATCGCGCTACCATGGGCGGTGCCGCTCCCACTGCAACCTCTGTTGCTGCTGCCGCTTCTGGACCATCCTGATGATGCTCGACGTGGTGCTCCTCGCCGCCATTGTCAGCGCCGCACTGTACGTACTGTACCCTCCCCACCGCCCTGAATTCTCCGTGACGAACCTCCGCATTGCGAGGATGAACCTGACGACGCCGTCGGACTCGCCCTCGCACCTCAACACGCTCTTCAACCTCACGCTCATCGCCAAGAACCCCAACAACCACATGGTCTTCTTCTACGACCCATTCTCCGTAACGGTGTTCTCGAACCCCGTCCCCGTGGAAAACGGCTCCGTGACGGCGTTCTCCTCGGGCAAGAACTACCAGATGAGCCTCCGCGCGGTGCTCTCGGGGTCGCAGGATCTGGACATTGACTCCCTAAGCAGTGTGAGATCGGGTCTGAAGATGAAGAAGGGTTTCCCCGTTCAGATTCAGACGGACACCAAGGTGAAGATGAAGATGGACTCGCTCAAGAGCAAGAAGGTCGGAATCAGAGTCACCTGCAACGGAATCAGAGGCACCGTTCCCGCCGACAATCACGAGGTTGCATCCGTCGTCGACTCCGAGTGGAGTACGAGGAACTGTTGGAGGGCATGCGCGAGCATTGATCAGCGGCTTGAAAGAGAAGGCGTGGTCAAGGTTTTTAATGAGGTCCAAATATAAGTCAAACTAAAAAGTCAAAACTTCTAAACACAAGCACGTGCGGAGGGGCTTTGCTGGAAATCCGTCTCGATCTTAGAATTGGATTCGGTGATGAAAGCTTAGATGAAAGAAGAAAATGTAGAGATCGGGACAAGGTTTTGAGTCTGAGACTCGCAGAATTTAACACCAACATCAGACGCGACCATTAGACTAAAAATTCGATCCTTCTTTGCTCTGTAATGAGGTACCATCAAATAATAAAAATCATTATTTTCAAATTGATTCTGACTTGTAGGCAAACTCGTGATTGATCGGTTAAATTCCGACTGGGCGAGTATAAATAACTCGAAGAACTCGTGATTGTCGGCAATAGTCCGGCTGGGCGAGTATAAATAACTCGATTGATGAAACTCGTGATTGATCGGTAAACATCCGAATGGGCGAGTATAAGTAACTCGAAGACAAAGTTTATGATTCAAGATTGATTCCTAACTCGACCCACCATTGTTAACCGGAATTTGGACGATTCCAGACTACGAATCGGAATTTGACCGATCCTTTCATATAATTACAGCTTAATGTTGATTTGAATTCTAGTTCATTGCCGACCACATGGATAAAATTTCATGATAAAGATATTTTTCATGATAAAAATATATACTTCTCTTCAAATACGCGAATCGGCATTTGGGGCGATTAGGTGGTTGAGTTTCCTTTTGAATTATATATTTCCCATATTACTGTTGCTAACCATACAATTAAATTCTATCCCAAACTTAGGAAACTTCTTTTGATTCGGCAATTTGCCGATCACGCGGGTAAGTTGCATTTAAACAAAAGTTTTGCAATCATTTTGAGTCAGCATCGTGCCGATCGCGTGGTTAAGTTTCTCCAGTATTGGAAATTCTTCATACATAATTTTTAGTCGGCGTTGGGCTAATCTCATGGTTAAAGGACATTTAAACTTAGGTTTCCCAATAATTTTCATTCGGTGTGTTGCCGATCACTTGGTTAATTTTGAATTAATTTCCACTTGTACCAATCGACATTTGACCAATTGGTTTCACACGGCCCCACTGAATTTTTGATCTAAAATCAGAATTTGACCAATTTAGAATAATTTTTAATCTACTCGGAATTTGGTCGAGACATGATTCACATGCCATTTTGAACTTAGAATAATTTATTGTTTTTCTTACTAAGCATTATGACGATTGTTTTAACTTAGAATATTCTTACAAACTTAGAATAATTTGTTATTTTTTGAACTCGGCATTTGGGCGACTGGGTATGGAAAACGTTCATTTTTAGAAAAAGTTGGCGTTCAATGTTGGGGTCGGAATCAGGGCGATTTGCCTTGGAAGACTTCACATTCGCTGCTTGGAAATATATTCCACTTTCAATTTAAGTCAGCTTTCATCCGATTGGTTGTCCAAATGTATCTCGTGGAAATTATTCCACTCAACATTTGATCATTTTGACTCGGTTTATAACCGACTAATTAATCACTTCTTTTAGTTCGAGTCGGTATTTAACCGGTTATTTGTCGTAATTTTACTCTTACTTGAAAAACTTCAGCCAAATTTTATTTTAGAAAATTTTCCAATCGGTTACAGTCGAAATTTCGGCGATTACGATTGTTTAAAAAGCCAGTTTTTAACCTGGTCCTTTCTTTCACCAAACAAAGTCAGAATTCGGGCGACATATCTCGTTAAAATTGATTATCAACACGCGTGATTTTCACTTCATTTGAGTCAGAATTCTGGCGATCAACTATGAACTCGGTTCTTGGACGACCAAATTATATCCGGAATGTGAACGATCACGTTGCTCAAACGAGTTTTCCATTGGATTTTAACTTTGAGTATTTTTTGTATTTTTCAAAGATCGGATTTTGGACGACTTCCTTTGATTCAAAAATTGTTTTAACTTAGAAATTTGTTCCACTCTTCGCAATGGACATCGAGATTTAGCGATTTATAGGAGTGGTTGCTTAAGCCCTTTCGCCTTTCAGGCTCAGGGCTGGAAGGCAAGTGTACCGTCCCGGCCTATTTCCGATACGATTCATAGGAGTGGTTGCTTAAGCCCTTTCGCCTTTCAGGCTCAGGGTTAGAAGGCTAGTGTACCGTCTAGGTGAAAACCCGACTAGTATACCGTCTAGGTAAAAACCCGACTAGTATACCGTCTAGGTAAAATCCCGACTAGACCCTCTACTCGTCTAATACCCGACTGGACCGTCACAGGGTGTGGCAACTCGATTCTAACCCCAATTACATGCACCCGCGAGGGGATTCACCGTTTTCCCGACAAGTCCCCTTGTAAAGGCATTCTCGGTAAAATACCGACTTGACTAACAACCACTCACCCCCATGGCTTCAGGATAAGAGCGGTTAAGGAGAATCCCGAAAATCGCGGGGCCCACGAAGCCCATAAACACAAAAGTATAAAACCCAAAACCCTAGAGCTAGGACGACAGATTACACTTTTGAATGCTCTGACTTTGAGACTTGACCTAGGAAAAAACCCTAGTCCACCTTTTGGCCGGAACAGACTCTATGCAGCGAAAAATATTGCAACACATTTAACGTAGTATATTAAAATATTAAATTAATATTATAAAATTAAACATAGAAAGTCTTTTTCGGTCGGACACGGGTTATCATGATTTTTATTTTTCTGACCCGAAACCGTTCGACATTACCCATTTTAAACCATTTTCTTTACTTCATGCAACCGGATTCTCAAAATCGATCGTTTGGAAATCTTCTTCTAAATTCGGATTACATGGGTTACAGATAGGTTCAAGAATATTGGTCACCTCTAGTGTTCATTACTGACCTTATAGGTATCATTCATTTTGGTGGTCATCGTGAGTTGGACAATTGTTGAGGGCTCTATTGTTGGAAGAGTATGAAAATTAATGTTATTTACTATTTAGTCTATATAATATAAAAAATAATTATATAATTAAGTTATATAAAAAATAACTTAGAGAAAATAAATTAATTGTAAAGTATTAATTAATAATTATTTATTTAATCAGTCAAAAAAATTAATCTTAATTTTAGAAAAATAAATGAGTAATATTTAATGTAAAAAAGTAAAATGTGATATGTTATTAATCGTTTCCTCTCTCTCCATCTCTCTCTCTTCCTAATCAGAGTGAACTTCTATAAATGCTAATGTAAAATCATAATAAATAAGAGTTGTCTTTAACTATCTCCTTTTTCTTTTCCCTCTATTTTTTATTCTTAATTTTCATTCTATTTTTTAAATTATGATTTATCTTTATAACATTCTTCATACAATGACACTTTATACAACTTTTTGTTAGTCAAAATTATTCATCGGTTAGAATCCTTCGCGGGTAGTTCTTCTATTTTTAAGATCAACAATTAATCCTACAAACCAATACAAGACTTTCTAGTGTGCTTTTTCTTCACTTGCACATACTTGAAAAACCTTTTCAAAAGGTCATCCATCCTTAAATTTCTTCAAGTTAAATACTCTTAATTGTGGTGTTTTTTTTTTGTAATGAATTATTGAAAAATAAATACATCTTGTTATCATAGATAATACAAATTAATTATTTTAAATCTTCATCAATTTCATAGTCACAAATATCTAAATCCCTCTCGTTCAGTCATCCTTGAATCACACCGTACTAGAAAAGAGGATCTACATTGATATCATTTATAACACCACTTTGATTTGACGTCTCAACGACACCACTTTATGACATTTTATATAGTGGCAATCTTATTTCATTGAAATTTTGAGATCAGATTGCTAATTTATACTTCTCTTTCACGAGCTTATTTGTAATGTATCACTATTATTAATCTATTTTTTTGATGTGTGGTGGTATTTAAGGATAACTCAATTTTGTATGACTGTACTGTACATTTAATATTTATTTTTAAGAATTATGTGTTTAATTATCTTTATATTTTACACTTTTAAGCTTGAAACTTATAATCATAAATAATATTTAAATACTTATAAAGATATTATTTTTTTACTTCACTCGTGAAAAAAAAGAGTTAAAGTTCAGTTGTCCTTCATTCACATTCATCTATAATCTAGGTATACATGGAGAATGGATGATTAAATCTTTCAAATTCTTCTAGTAGCTCTTAGATGCCCAATAAATATATTGACGATGAGGATTCTATTCTCGAAAATGACTTTTATTAGCTTACGAAGATTTCTATCATTTGTTAAGATATCTTTTTGATGAGTTAGAGTGATTTTGGGATTCGTGTAGATATTGTCATGACTTAAACTCTTTTTATTTTTTTTTAAGTTTTATTTTTTATTTTTTATTTTTTGTTTACATTTAGAGAGATAGTCAATATCCTTTGATTTTGTATATATTTTATGATTTGTGATGATGGTAATCATATTAACAACAATAATGTATGCAGTTTTTTTTAATGATAAGGAGTTATTTATAATTATGTAAATATGTCAGTTATATATATATATATATATATATATATATATATATATATATATATATATATATATATATATATATATATATATATATATATATATATATATATATATATATATATATATATATATATATATATATATATATATATATATATATATATATATATATATATATATATATATATATATATATATATATATATATATATATATATATATATATATTCAAGAATGCGTTTGACAATACAAACAATCTTTTCAGAAAAAAATTCTTCTTGTTTTAAATTAACATAATTTAGTATAATTAAAATAAATTAGCTAAATAAGTAATGTAATTTGGATGACACAATGCATGATGTTGTTATTTTATGTATGTATTACTCGCGGAGGTTTTATTATGTAATGTTTTTAAATACTTTTTTTTCATTGTAGATTTGGACTCTTCGTTATTCTCTCCACACACTTTTGATGAAATTTTGAGGAAGACGCACTACTAGAAATATGCCATTTATTAATAAGCTAGAGCTTAAGGGAAGGATTGTTGGATTATTTTTGCATTT